GATAACCACTATTCTCTTTAGAATACGTTTGCATCTCAGCTAAATCTACTTGCCATAAGTCTGCGAAACCTTTTATTATAGTTCTCCTTCTATGAAACTTTCGTCTGGCAGGTTTATGCAGTTCATTGACTATTCGCCTTTTGGTTGCACTTATCTCCATAACAGCGTTATTCAAACCTATTGAAATACTTCTGAATGCTTGTGATCTCCTTGAATAACGTTGATATACTAATAGGCCAGCATACATCATATCCCTCTTATGCCTTGGAGACAAATTAAAATTAATGCACAATGCCTTCTTCGCGTAATTCCTCAATTATTGACATTATTTCATTATCGTGCCCAGTGTGACCGGCTGATTTTGAACTCCACAATAGCCGAAGGCGTTCTACTAATTCTGTAGCTTCATTCCAATAGACGTACTCTTTGCGGCGTTTACTAACACTCTTTCTGGATGGTATCAATTGTAATATTCCTCCACCACCTTTAACTTTTTGCTGCTGACTCCTCATATTATGTGGAGAACCAATTAATGGTTTGATAATTTGCTGATATTTCGTTTTTGATTTCGTACTCATATTCAACCCTTCCCGTACATCGAAATTCTTATATGGCGCCTTTGTATTCTTCAGCAGGGCTGTGTATACGCTCTTATCTCGATCATCGATCGATCTTGGTATGTGTTTCATGAATATGAGGTTATATAGTTCAGACGTTGCTGGAAAAATTTTGCTCCTCTTATTGCTGCACAATAACTCAATTTGTCCGGGAGGAAAACGAATCTCCATGGCACCCATCATCGTGTTTTTCGTGGTGGGATCGATACGAACGCCATATGTGGTGTCATAATTGGGGTCATTAGACTTCAAGTTATCTAAATGTTTTCTCAATTGTCCATCTAGTGTGTTCGCTTCTGCCCCATCAGCGGGCATCATAGTATCGATTGAAATGTGTGAAGAAGATGATGTTGGTGGTGTATCCATCATTGTTCTATATTCGGGTTCTTCATCTTCTTTTTGTATGCTTGAATAATCATCGGTGAAACTACGTGATTTTACGGATTGTCTGGGTGTTTTCGTAGCACCTGGAGACGCATTGCCCGACATCGGTGTGGAATGATATGTGGGTTGTGCCATTATTGTCGTTAACTGTTTGTTAATATTCTTCGTAGTAGCTGTTGTATTTGGAGTTGCTGCTGCTGCTGCTGCTGCTGAGATAACATTCAACGGTTTCATGAGTGGTTCATACACCTTTTCGAGCGCCAATTGATTTCCCATACGGTAATTTTTCAGGCTTTCGAACTTTTTTCTCACTGCTTCGGTTGCTCCAATGAGTTCACGTTTGAGGTGAATTTCTGAATTCATTTCAGTCATTTTCTCATGAGATGTGCTCATAGTCACATCTAATGGTTGAATGAATCACGCGGTGCTCAGATTTCACGGATATATGAAGTTATCGAATCCTTTTCTGTAGCGGCCCTCTTGTACTTCACTATCCTTATCGATAACTATAAATCCATATCTATCTGTCCAACTCTGCGCGCACATATCTTGAAATTGCTTGAATGTAACATCTGGAGATACGTGATCGGAAAAAATGTGGTGAAGATTCATTTCATCCTGTTTAAACATAACTATGAAGTTGGAGTTGTCGCGAATGAGCTGTTTGGGTACTCTGGAGTATGTCTGCGCCAGATAAAAGCAGTCCACATTTTTATGGCGACCCATAGAAAAATACGATCTAATCACATCTTGTTTTTCACAAATGACGTCGTCGAATATGAAAATGCTGTCAGGTTCAGCATTCGCTGGTTCTATTATATCTACATTATTATCAAAAGTGTGGAATCCCAAACCTTTGATCGGCTCCAACACCTTTCGTAGGTACTCATACTTGGGTTGATACAACGATTTTGAGTAGAGGTAGATATTCGTGAACCGTAAACCATTTTCGTTGGTGAGGAGTGATATCATCACATTCGTTTTACCACAATTCGATGGACCAATTATGAGGCCGCGAATTGTGTTGGGAAATAGTGTTCCATGTCGGCGTTCTGAGATGATGTTACTTCCCAACCCCACTTTCTCATCAAAATTGTCCACATTGAAGGTTTCTGCCTGCTGAACTATCCGCATTGTATGACGGTTGAATGATATATAAGGTAGTGCAACCCGTGTTGGGGTCATTTATATTATGAAGCTGGAGCGTTGCACATCGATAAATAATAAAAGAATTAGTCGACGAAAGAGAAGCGGTAAAGGGATTGTGAATACCCTAATAAATAGAATACCATTCGAGTTACACATTCCTGGTTATCAATACTGTGGGCCTGGAACAAAACTCCAAAAACGATTAGCTCGGGGTGATCAGGGGATAAATCAACTGGATAAAGCTTGCAAGGAACACGATATAGCGTATCTGAAGTATCCAAACGATTTATCAACTAGGCATTCAGCTGATAAGAAATTGGAAGAAGCTGCCTGGGAGCGGGTAAAATCGAAAGACGCTAACGTAGGGGAAAGGACCGCTTCTTGGTTAGTCACCAATATAATGAAGGGGAAGAGGCGCTTCGGAATGGGATGTAGTGGACGTAGTGGAATGAAAAAACGTCGCATTACAAGAAAAAAGAATAAATCGAAGCGTGTAAGCAAAATTGCTTTCGGCTCTGGCGTAGTCCACAAGGTTCGAAATGTCATACGGCAAATGGGTAAAAAGAGTGATGTCGTCAGAAATTTAGCCAAAACATCCCTTATGGCGATCGGAGCTGCCCGAAAATTTGTCAAGATGGCAGGTGGAAAAAAGAATATACGGACACCTAGGATAATACCAATACCTAAAGTTGGCGGAATTCTCCCACTAATACCCATTTTCGCGGGCTTATCGGCTTTAGGCAGTTTGGCTGCAGGAAGTGCTGGTATAGCTCGTGCCATTCGTTCAGCGAAAGAGAGTAGGGAGCAGCTTTCGGAAGCAAGTCGACACAATAGGCATATGGAGGCGATCGCTCTTGGAAAAGTTGGTAAAGGAGTTTATTTGAAACCATATCGAAAGGGGTTAGGCATCTATCTGAAACCTCAAAATTCAAAAAACTGAATGAACTACCTCGAAGGGCCTTAACAGACATTGATCTATTGAATTATGTAGATAAAATGAAAGTACCGCACTTTCGAGGTATATTTATGAGGGACAAGCTACCTCGTTCCGGCCCACATCGCATAGAAGCAGCTATTCTGAATTTAGATAGCAATCGAGGCAATGGTACGCACTGGGTTGCATATAAAAAACGTAATAGAGAAGTGGAATATTATGATAGCTATGGAGATTTGCCACCTCCTCAGGAGTTGATGGAATATCTGCAGAGAGGGCCAAAATCGTTGAACACTATCAAAATCACATATAACTACGAGCGCCATCAGGATTTCAACACAGTCTGGTGTGGTCATTTGTGCTTAAAATTTCTCTCGGCAAACAACGGACGCAAAAAAAGTCTTCAATATGGATAGAGAAAGCATCAAACGAATGGGGCACTCATTACTGGCTTACTCAAGATTGCGTTCCCTGCTGAAAATGAGTGAAAAGCAGCTCGCAGACATGCCGAAAGAAGTCGTTATCGGTTGCGCCCCACATGAAATTGCTCTAGTGTGGGATAAACTTCCTCAGCAATTACGTAACGATCCGGACGTATCAAAATACCAATTTTGTGAAGAACATCATCATGAAGAAGATGGCAAACATGGCGCTGCTGATGTGAATGATGGACCAACACCGAGAAGAATATTTTGCTGTTTTTGTCAGATCAAAGATGTGAATGTGGCAAATGAATGTATTAATACTTCACCTCGTGAAAACGGCGGCATTCATCATTGTTGTAGGCAGCAATAAGGTTGTCACCTTTTCATCACGGTTGCGCATATATTTCAACATTTATCACAGTTTCGCCGTCTTCTTCCTCTGAGAAGTCATGTCACAAACTTTCACCATATCTGGGGACCGCAGTGTTTTGAGCGCCGACTTCTACCCACCTATTGAACTCGATACAAAAAAATCCTATGGTTTGGGATTGCATGGTTTCTACTCATATAACTCCATACTCAATATAGATGAGAAAAATAACCGATTGGACTTTTGGGCTGTGTTAGGAGCTAAAACCACCCACAAAATAGTCCACATACCACCTGGCGCCTATGAAATAGAGGAAATCAATAAAGCTCTACAAAAGGCTATAGCGTGCACAATACCGCTCGATGGGCGAAATATTGATGATATATTTTTTCTCCATGCTAATAATAACACCCTAAAATGTGAAATGAAATGTGTGTACAAGGTGGATTTCACACCTGCGACTTCCATAGCCGGAGTGTTGGGATTTGAAGCCAAGAAATACCCACCTAATATATTGCATGAATCCACGTTGCCTGTGAATATAATAAAGGTTCGTCTCTTGAGGGTGGACTGCAATATTACCACAGGAGCATTCTTCAATGGTGAGGAGGTTCATACACTATATGAGTTCGATGTTGATGTGGAGCCTGGGTATAAGCTATCAAAAGAGCCGCAAAATATCATATATTTACCCATCAGCCCGACTGGGCGTCAGTTCATCGACAACATTACACTGAGAATATTGGATGATAACGGTCTTTTAGTCGATTTTCGAGGAGAAAAAATCATCGTTAAGCTAGAACTGAAACAACTCGCTCATTAGGCAGACACCATCAAAGGAATGAAATGGGGTTTTGTTTTGGGAACCAATCAAAACGCATGCAACCGACTAGCTCCGATACCATTCAGCGGAATATCAATAAGAAGGAGAGAAAACGTGGTAGTGGATTCATTCGAGCAGAACTTCCCGAACGTGAAAGACATAGATTGTCTGCGAGCGACAAATATTTTTTGAAGTCAATTGGTCTGAAGTTACGATAACCAGCTGCAAGATGGTTGCAACAGCCTCTACTAGCCCCCAATTGGACGTGTTTGATGAACCAATTTTAGATCATTCACTGATGAGCCTACATGAGCACACATACAAACCATATGGGTCACCCTCATTCAAGAATTCTGATGAAATAAGGATCGCTGTCAACTTTCAAGATCTGATTCTTGATATTTCTGAAAGTTACATCTATATCGAGGGAAAATTCACACCAAACGATGCCACTAAAACCTGCTATCTATCTAATAATGCTCTAGCATTCTTATTCGATGAAATACGCTATGAAATGGGTGGCGAACAAGTATGCATGGTACGAAAACCAGGCATCACTACTACCATGAAGAGTATGATTTCTTATGGAGAGAGTAATATGAAATTCCTAGAGACAATTGGATGGGGCCTTGATGGTGGCAAGCAGGTGCTTCTAGATAAAGCTAGCAACGTTTTTAGCGGCAAACTACCCCTTAAATATCTTATGGGGTTTGCCGAAGATTATTGTAGAGGTATTTTGAATATCAAACAGGAGCTAATACTCATCATAGCTCGCTCATTCAAGAACTCATATATTGGGGAAGTGGACGCCGATGTGGAGATTAACAAAATTGAGTGGAAGATAAGACATGTGATGCCATCAGATAAGCAGAAATTGAAGCTATTGACCCGTTTGAATAGAAGTTCTACGGCAAAAGTGAAAATTGCATACAGGATGTGGGATCTGTATGAGTTACCGACTATTCGTGAAACAGCATCTGACATTTGGGCCGTTAAAACTACCAATAGCCTCGAGCGGCCTCGATATATCATCATTGGATTCCAAAACACTGATAACACTGATAATAGATCTGAGGATATCACACAATTCACCCATGCAGGAGTGAGCAATATTCGCCTGTATTTGAATTCCGAAGTTTATCCATACGAGCGATGGAATTTGGATTTCGATAAGAAATTAGATGCAGTAGCCTATTATGCATATGACAACTTCCAACGTAGTTACTACGGCAAAGACATGAGCGAACCAATGATGAGCATCGAGGAATTCCGAAAAAACCCACTATTCATCATTGACTGCAACCACCAACCCGATGCGATGAAATCCTCCACTGTCGACATCAAGTTGGAATTTGAAACACGAAAAACGAAGTTTCCATCGCACACCAAAGTTTACGCACTTATTCTTCATGATGCATATTTAACTTATAGTGCACTGGATGGTTCCATACAGATGGGTGCTTTATAGACATTGAATGTATCATGTTCATGTTAATAATAACGGCCATTTCGAGATTGATTTATATATTTGATATCATAGTTATTGTTCTAGAATCCGTTGTTGTTATACTGAATAAAACGAATATATACCATATTTATTGTTTTATTTCTATACATATACATTAACAATTATAGTACCCATACATCTTATAAGTATTCAGAGGTTGAAGTAGCCGTTGTGTGGAGATTTAATGCAGAATTATAAGCTTTTTTCTTCTTCTTGTCCTTCTTCTTCTTCTTCTAAATCAGACACCTCTGGAGTTATTCCAATGCTATATTTCCGGACGAGATGGTTCGGCAAAAAATCGGAAATTTCATACAGGAATTGCACTAAGTCCTCTTCAACCATGGCTTCAACAAATTCCTCTACATTGATGTTATTATACTCGAAACGGGCGCAGAGTAGGAACCCCAATTTGTATTGCTCAGCTTGCTTGCAGAGGTTCTGAACCTGTTTTTTATCAAAGCACACACTCGTGTCATAATTAGCTGCATGCATTGCGTCCTGCTCTAAATCGGCAAACTGACATTTCAGCCTCCTCACACTCGACTTGATATCTTCCGCTACCGGCCAAGATTGACTGGAATAATGCATCCACATATTGCACATCTATTGAGGTGAATTATCCTGCAACATAAATGGAAAAAATACTTAGGTCACGAGTGAATGAGTTAAAGAATTGATCATTAATCGAATTATATATCTGTAGCACCACTCACCTATACAAATTCAACCTTCATCAGAGTGTGATATAATAGGTTATATATAATATGTAAGGATTATCATATAGTATTCAAACCCATTTACACTACACTAAACGTGGCTGATGCATCCCTATGATTAAATTAATTTTCCTATATACTATGAAATGACCTTTACATTTTTTTCACATCGAATTTCATGAGAGCTCTCGTCTTTGCACCCGCGAATAGAGGCTCACTCTGTCCCAAGTATGTTAAAGTGTAAAGACCGTTGGAAGAATTTATCTCATCAATATCGCTCTCCATAAATTTGTCAACAACTCTTTTTGGTAACCAAGTTTTCAAACTCACTTCGGTCTCTTCATCATATAAAATTACAGTGCCACTCCTACCGAATCTGGTTCCGCATAATGAGATTTTCTTGATAATATAGCTTTTATTGAGGGGTAGTGATGATATCAAAATTTGCTTTACAATTTCATTCTCCTCATTAATTTTATCATTAATTGAAGCTAAATCGATTTTGGGGGCAGCCATTATTTTCGTCCAAGTGAAAGGGGTGTGAATAATATATGAATAAGCGTACTTACATAAAACAGATAACCTTTTATCACACTCAAACTTTCCCAACTTAATTGAGCAGAAGCAATGTTCAATGTTATTGCAAGAACTATGCTTGTGCATGTGGCGGATTTCGTATTTATAGAAACGCAAACAACCCCCACTATAGCGATGTGATGCGCGAAAGTGTCTTCAACTTCGAACACGCTTTCAAGGCCTCACTCTCTCTACAACTCAATGTCACTCACTCTCAAGGTCGCACATGCGGAGGTTCACTCCCACCCAAGGTCGCTTCCGCCCAATGCCACTCTTGCCTCAAGGCAACTCTTGCCCCAAGGTCACTCCGCCCAAGGTCACTTCCTCCCAAAACCACTCCTGTTCCAAGGTCACTTCCGTCCAAGGCCACTTCTGCATCAAGGTCACTCCTACTCAAGGTCACTACCGCCCAAGGTCACTCCTGCTCCAAGGTCACTCCTGCTCCAAGGTCACTCCGCCCAAGGTCACTCCCGCCCAAGGTCACTCCGCCCAAGGTCAGAGGAGAGTGACCTCGGGCGGAGAGTCAGAAACGGCTAATCTTATCTACTGACATTCAGTTTCATGATTGAAGTTGAATATTCAATACGAACGTAATACATTATTGGTGCGAACTTTATTCGATAGTACAGAACACACAGTGTTTGAATCATTTTCTCTTCCAGGAAAGTAGCTGAATGCAATATCAAATATCTTTTATTGTTTTTTTATTCTGATACAAACTAAGTGGCGCCCCTCTGGTACCTCAACAAAGTCCGAATCAATGATCATCGCTCGCCAGACGAAAAGCTGCCTGCGCCTTGCTAATCTAACTTTTTGAAGTTCATATTTTTTGTACCATCTATGAAAAATTGTCTAAAGTAGGTTACAAGAATTTGACGCCTCAAACGTGGGCCCGAGTGTTTCTGTTGGGTTGAATATTCTTTTTATTTTTATGAAAACACTTTGTGAACTCAATATTTTGTCCTTGAATTTTTTTATCTGGTTATTAGGTATATGATAACTTCACATTTTTGATATTTTATAATCAATTATTTTTTGATGAACAGTTTCTTGAAGATTCCATTAAGCCATGTACAGGGGAACTAGGAATTTTTCTTTGCAATTATTTGGGTTGAAACTGCAAGTTTCATTATATGAATTTGTTTATTGGAATTTTTGGTGGCCCAATTATTTAGTTGAAATAAGTTGTAGCATTTGAATTTGCTACAAGATAATATTAGCTAATTATTTTGATGAAACTTATCAAATTACAGTAGAGTCGCACTGTGGTGTGCCAAGATTTATTTTTATTTTTCTTTGGTGTAATAAACATAGTCTTCAAATTCTTACCTTATGAATTTGAGAAGAAACCATACTCACAGTGAACATTCAGTCTGACATATAGTAAATAATCCTTGAGTAGAAGAACATTTAATGAAACAACCATATCATATCACACACAGTTTTGAATGAGATCTTTTAACAAACAAATTCCAATAGTAGAATACTCATTTCTTCTGATATTCTATGTGCTAATAGGAGGTGATGATGTAAGTTGTAGGAGTCTTTGATTTCTGACGTTCTGATCCTAAGGCCCTAGAATCGAAGAAAATATTTAATATTGTAATCCATTCAAAAGTAGACAGACAACTTACCGTCGATGTTCTCCAGGGCGATAAATCCTATTTCGCTGGAATATCTCAGGATTTATGATGTTGTTCATTCTGAATTGGTTTCAATGTGGATAAATTTCTTTGTTTATTTTTGGGATAATATTTCAGGTTTATATTTTCATGTGTCATCAGGATGTAACTGTCACTGTTGTCATACTGCAGTCATTGTGGACTGTCATTTGTCTGCTGTGAAGGATTTGGAGATTATTCCTATGAAGACAGAAGAAGAAGAACAATTCTTCTTAATAATTAGGGCGTAAGCATTTCTTCGACCAATAGGATTCTTGGATTTCATATTTGGCGCTAATTTGGGATTTCAACAGGAAACTAGGGTTTTTTGACTAGTTAAATCGAGGGTAGGAGAATTTCCGGCACGTAGCTGCCTCACTTCTTCTCGGTTAGCCATGGTGGCGTGCACTTGACCTGTGAAAAGTGATTTTGATTTTCTCGCTGAAAACCGTAGAAACCCTTAGGGGTATTTGATTTTTGGGAAGCCGTTGCTAACCGGTCAGTGGATGGAATCTCTGTCAGGAAGTCATTATTGGGATTTGTTCCTGGAGACTGCCATGAAGTTTTAGAAGCCATGCAGCCCGGCCTGTTTTAGTCCTTAAAAAGCAAGATCTAAAATTTCTTCAATCCTACCTCCCTTCTCAGAAGGTAAGTCACAGCCATAGCAGATTCAGCAGTGAAATCTTCGAAAATATAATATCCTGTTCTTCAGTTTTTTTTCTGTTGTCTCCACGTGCTCTGTGTGCCCTCTCAGGAGGCTATATTCAGATTATTTCATAGGGTGCTAGGGTGCAGCTTAGCTCTGCTTCGGACTCCTGGTAGCGACCGGCCCTCAGGATACTCTACTCTACCCTTGTCAAGATCCCCCAGTGGATCTGAGTAATCCTGCAAGGTCTTCGGATCTTGGCCAGAGTCGACCATGGAGACACCAGATGGAGCCCAGTAGCAGCTGGTAGAGACTGATAGCATTCCTCGTTTGTGTTGTCTTCACCTGCAGTGACCTATGCTGCACATCTACACTCATACCACTTGGGACCTTGGATAGGGGTGATCTGAACCATTGCAGAGGACCATTGGACCACTATCAGGTTTTTTTGTTCCACCTTCAGTGTTTCACATTCTGCTACATAATTATCTACATTTTTTTCACATCTGAGACTGGTTGAGTAATCACATTTTTTACGGTATTAATTCACAAACTGGTGAAGCTCTTGTGAAGCTCTCCCATAGTATACTATGTGACTGCGGTTGCTTAACAGTTCATTGCACTATCATTCCTTGACTAGTTATACATTCCGTTTTATAGTTGAAATAGGATTGTTACTATACTTAGTTTCACTTATTCTAAAAATATGGTAATTGTCCTGGTATAGGTAGGAAAATTATGATGAAATTATGAATCACCATGCAATTTACTCAACCTACACTATTGAAATAATACAGTACTTTAGTGATTATTTTGCATCATGAAACAGCAGGCCTCTACATTGGTCCATATATAACCTTGTCTCTGGTGGTGTGAAATATAATAGGTCTTGAATTTTATGTTGGTTTTCATTCTTCCATATGTCCAGCCCAGTCTTCTAAGAAAATATACCTTGAACAACTTTCAGATTTTTGAAAAACAGATTATTTGGAAAGAAATTTGGTTTTCTCAATTATCCAAATTGTAGGATTTTTATAAATTGAGTGGCGTCCAAGAACTTGAATTTTCTTCACCATCTAGCCTATAATTCGAACTCACTTATCTGTTCTCCGATGTACAGCTGCCGATAGCAAATGTGTTTGACTTTTTAATACTTTCATCCTTTTATATTAAAAGTTGGCCACAAAGTTTCGATTTGAATTCATCATAATTGAATTCATTCAGTTCATGTAACCGTG